ATCTTACCGGAAGATTAAATAAATGTGGCGTCATTTCACCTAGATTTGATGTACCTATCAATGACATCGAGAAGTGGACCAACAATCTCTTACCTTCGCGACAGTTTGGGTAAGCCTTTATTTATTTGTAATATATATATTAGATTATCTCTTACATTTGCTACATAAAATATAAATAGTTTTGTTTCTGTTTATAAATATAAATTTATATAATATATAATACTAAATTTATATAATATATTATACTAGCAAGAATAAAATTAAATAAGAAAGTATATTTAAAAGATTACTCAGTTCAAGTTGAAAAATATGCTCAAAGTTATTATAAGATTATTATTGAGCATTTATGTGTTCAGTATAATGTAATATTTTAATGTATGAATTGTGTTAATTAAACTTTAAAGGAAATAATTATATAATACACATTTATTTTTATTTATGTTTCAGATATGTTGTATTGACAACTAGCGGAGGAATTATGGATCATGAGGAGGCGAGGAGAAAACATCTTGGAGGAAAAATATTGGGATTTTTCTTCTAATTTTTTAGTTAAGTAAATAAAGATGTAAACAAAAAATGTACGTCTAAGTAATCTTTTGATGAAAATCGAATACTTCAATCCATGAAAATTTTTATTCCATTATAAGTTTTATATGGTATACTTTTGAGATGATAATTGATATTTTTTATGAGCATCGTTTTTTTGCTCAAGATTTCTTCGCTTCATTGATTAATTCCAGTAATGTAAGATTTGCTTGTCTTGCCTGTCTTATTATATCCCTAAACAATCACCTCATAATCATTGTGCCAACATGAATTATAAATGAGAATACATTGATGGATCTATTTACCGGGAGCAGAAAGGAGGAGGAGAATCAATGAGGCCATCACGAGTCAAAATACGTCTATCTAGGAGTTGAATCAAGTATTCATAAGGATCATAGGGTCGAAGTAGCAGAAGCTCGCCGAGCAGAGAATCGATGATGTCGTGAATCCCTTTTTGTTTTAAATACGACTCCGCATCTTGTATGTTTCTTGGCGCATGTCGAACGGTATTTTTGGGATACACATTGAACGTTTCTCCAGTTTCTCGTTGCTTTGAAGGACACTTTAAATAAGTCTCCATTCGTGATAGTGAAGTTTTTACGCGATCATCCAATCTCCATCGTTTCTCCTCTCTCTCTCTCTCCTTCCTAGCTATTTTAGGTAAAAATGCAAAGTTCCTGACTCAAGGCTGCCAATCTGCGAAGTAATATAATAAATTTCTCTATTATATTTGACTTAAAAAGTTACCAGTCGAAAAGTAAATTGTCCTAGATAGTAACAGATATTTTCCAAGACACTGTTTGAAATACTTTGAAATAGAAGAAATCTACTGTATCGATACTTTCGTATCTCTCTCATCGTTGTTCAAGGTTCAAGGACCGCAATCGTGACAAGTTGATCATTTAGTTGATCCCTGATTTCTTTTAATTATTCTGACGTTTCATCAGTCTACGTCGATCTTCAGCGGTAATTAGTACTATTTCTGCGCAGCTGAAAGATTCGGCGAATCTATAAGCCATGGCATTGTTGAGAATCGGCAATATGGAAATGTTGAATACTTTGACTCGTGTCTCGCGCACAGGTACAAATTACTTTTTACAAATTGTATTATTATTTTGCTTTGTTTTCCATAGATATGCATGCAATATATATTGCAAAGATTCAAGTTGCCATCGTTTCTGTTTTTGCAATTTAAAAGATGGTGTTGAAGATACTAAGAAATGACAAAGTTGCATATATAGTCTGCTACTGTTTGTCTACTGCTGTAGTTTTTTGTAGTCATTCTAACTTTCTAATTTATCATGATTGTATCAGATAGTGCTTTTTGATTTATGTTTTTAGAAATTATTAAAAATATTTTGTAGAGCATTTGCAGTATATAATTTAAATTACATATTTTCTTTCTAAAAAAAAAAAAAAAAAACCATAAAATCGATATTAATACATTTATCTTAATGAGAAATACTAGCTTTTTCCATCAAAAGTTTCAAATCATGTTCACATCTTAGTCTTTTATCATCTGAGATGTATACATTTATAAGAAATTTATAATTCTTTTAAACTTTATGTACAGGTTTTTAAACAGTTTTTAAAGAATTTTGCTCAATGTTTATTGTAATATATTACCTTATCCTTGCATTACTTTACGTCGCGGTCATGATGATCATTTTACATAATAATCTTTATTTTAACATAGATATAATTTTAGCATAAAAACTTGGTTGTATATATTTGCCTATTTTAATTTTATTATATCATATTAATTTTTGTTTTTAATTAACATATTTCTTAATTTCTGCTTTATATGTGACATAATATATAAAATGTAATTATAATAGAACATGTTTTTCCATTTTATTTTGCTTTCTTTTTCTTAAAATATTAATAATCTTGTAATTTAAGTAAAAAATATAACTTACACGCATATAAATATTCATTTATTAACTTCTAGTCTTTTGACCTTGGAAGTTTCAGCATAAACTAACTATACTGTCTTTGTAAAGACATAATTCTTTTGTTGTATTTTCTATTCATTTTCAAACTTTTCCTCTTTTTTCTTTTTAGGCTCAGTTTCAACTCATGATTAATTCTTAAGGTTCAACTTATTTCTCATTTTTTTCCAATTCTAGAATTGAAAAGAAATAGTGAATAAGTTGAACCTCTGTTAAGAGTTAATCAGTTGTGAAACTGGATCTTAGTCTTATTCAACATTTTATTCTTTCTCTTTGTGCTTGTCCTTCAAAAAATAAATCTCTATATAACAAACTTTTAATATAACGCAATAAATATAATGTGTAATATGTTATAGTATCATAACATTAAGTTTTAATTGTAGCATTCTTGGAGATGCAGTGTGCGACTTCGGCGGCAGTTCATCGGAAGCAGCAGCACTTGTTGCACTTGATTAGCGCACGTTATTATCCAGATCCACCAACTCTCACTTTGCCGAATAACGTTTGTGATATCTTTGCTAACGAGACTGGTCGCTTCACACCGGAACGCGCGCGTGACATTGCGCTATATACCGAGAACGGTGGAATCTCTGTCTCCACAACAAACTGCTCTGGATTTCCCAAGATCCGCGATGACAACCATGTGGATTCATACGATTGTTTCGGCGCAGTCAGTCTGAATGGCACAATGCAGAGCAACGTGCCGAAGCCATTCTCTTCATGTGGCAAATCCATGCACCTTAACATGCCTGGTGGACAGTGGTCCCGCGACGACAAATACATCGCCGAGGACATGCAACGCTCTCATTACCGCAAGTTGTCGTGTAAGAACGACCTTTGACTGGATTCTGGAGGGTAGAGGTGCTTTCCTCATCTTCGCTTCCTTACGATTTTGAATCTTTATGTCCTCGCTGTTCTCTGAATTCTAGAAGATAATACAATACTTTGATCTTGGGATTCTATATTGGAGAATTAGAGGACATTTAATCAATTATGAATGTAAATTATCTGAATATCAATATAGAATTATTGATATCAAATTAAATTAAGTAAGATCTTTCGCTGGTGTTATATAGATCTGAGAATCTGATAATTTATATAATTCGCTAGGATTCAAAGATAAGCATCCCAAAAATTCATAATATTTCAACAACAATCTAATGTTACAAAAGTTTATAAGAGGATTTTGTCTTCTGCCTGTGTTAATGTTATATCAATATTATACCAATATTAACACACATTGGATAGTCACAAAAGCTTTGTTGAAGATTTTTATACACTTGAGGATTTGCAGATTCTTAAGTTGGATCTTCAAAGTAAATAAGAATTGTGCAATGCTTTTGTGGCCATCCAGCTTTAAAAATTCACATTAGGCAATTATATGTCGCTCAGGTACTGCAATTAATGCCTTCATAACGAGCCCGCTTTTACGAGCGACATATTGGCCAATTTATATCACCAGAATAAGCTACTCGACCAACACTTCCAAAGATTCCCAGAAGGATCAGGCTACGATGCCGGTCGCAATGATGTCAAAGCGGGAAAAATTTCGCCTATTGTTGAGGGATTATGGAAGCACTCTGCTCGTCTTTCATATCACTATATCGCTGATAAGCCTCGGTGGTTGTTATATGGTGGTCATTAGGTCAGTCATGCGATCCCTGTAATAAGTCTAAAAATCGCATCTTCTCTTTTCTAACTGAAATATTTAAACATTAAAAATTTTATATATATATATATATATATATATATA